TGAATTGGCCCACCCTCGCGAACAAATTCTCTCCTCTCGCGAGTCCCGTCTTTTTCTCTACCTCGTGTGGTTGATTTACGAGCATCCGCGGAAACTACACGCCGTTGAAGCCGTGGAACTTACGAAAAGTTTTTCATCGTTGTCCGAAAAACTTTTACCTCGAAATTTCGCGTATATTAGTTTCCAACAGTAAGCCCGGCTTCTCGATGCAATCTAGATCACGCTAGGACTCGGTTTAATAAAGAATAAAGAATAATGAATCGCGTAAAGTTTTGTAAACGAAAGCTTCTTACACTTTTCTAAATAAGACAAACTTATCCACCGATGTAATGTCTTGACTGTAACATCGGCTATTTTTCTGCCTGACCGAACCTCGGTCTCGTGTTTTCAACCTGCCTCACGAGAAGAGCACGCAAGGTCATTGTTACGGAAAACGGATGGATCAAAGGGAACCGCAAACTAGTCTAGCCGCGGCTTCGCGGCTGATTAAACTCAAGCGCGGCCACGAACGAGAAACAGAGATGGTGGTGGAGGTAGTGGTGCGACGATGGTGCGCAGGCTGTGCGGCCAGACTGCGGGACAAACTGGATGGAAAGATGCGCGCAACCCTCTCTCGTGCGTGTGCATGAGACCCGCGGAAAGATGGCGTCTACCACACCGAAATGGCCACGGCAACGCGTCTGATAAAACATAAGGCACGACGACCATACCTGCTGAAAAGGAACGTCGAATAAGTTGTACAAAGAGAAAGAGAAAAAGAGAGAGAGAACAGGATGGAGAGTTAGTAGATATCATCCCTAGTTACGACTGGTGACGAGGGGCGGAGTCGTGTCGACCGCACACCTGCCTCGAGGTGGACTGCCCTTGGTCACCCCTGGTTTCCACCCTCTTTGTAGGCTACATCTTGATGGACGCGTTTACGGTAACCGGTCGACGGGAAAAGGACGAAAGAAATGGCCGGCTTTTAATGGTCGACTCGAGAGCCCGTTGCGAAAGCGCAATTTGGACCTCAAACTTCGTCCTGAATATACCTGGAAACCGGTTGTTTTATCTACGAGAAATATATATTCGCGATAGCGAGGGGTTCATCCTGTGTCGAGGTTGTCAGCCGCGATGCATAGTCGTTCGGTTTGATGGATAAGTCGCGCGGAAAAATCGAAAATAGTAGTAGCCTTCGCGTTGTAACACGATCGGTCTGGGATATGCAAATTGTCTTACACGAATTTGTAATCGGAACATAAATAATTATATGACATTTCTTATATCTGGAGAATGTCGCGAACGATAATCGGTACGTATGTTAATGTTTTGAGCGCATTCATAAGAGAAGAAAAGAGAGAGAGAGAAAGAAAGAAAGACGAAAATGATAATCATTTAGCAGAAGAGTTTATGTTGACAGAGTTAATGCAGTTTACGCCAGTAAAAATGTGTTGTGAGCGAATCGGCGATAATACCTTTACGACTTGCATTAATCAGATTGCCTCGCGGCATTAATTCACACAGCACCTCGTACACACGTTGCGTTAGCATGCTTGAAACATTGTAGGACGGACATTTAATGATAATATATACGCGTCGTTACGCGTTTGTATTCAAATTTGCTTTACATTCGCCTGATCAATACGTTCTTATATTTCTTAACCAATGGTAAACGTGTTGAATAACTGTGAAGGATGATAATCTGCTAATTGATAATCTTGCCGATTCACGCACTTATTAATAAGTATTATGTATCTTTAACATTTTCGTTTTCTGGATGTTAATTAATGAGTATCATTACGATATATGAAGGCACGATTATTCTCGGTTTCTCTTCTTTAATTGACTTCTTGTGTAAAGAATATAAAAATACACTTACTATAGAACGAATAAAAAAAAGTTGCATCATTTATCAGAAATATCTTCGAGATGTGTTACGTGCTAAAATGATTGGAACTGACAATGTCAAAGGTACGTGTCGTTAAAGATTTGTCTTCGTGTAATAATAACACAGACTTTTATAAGATGCTCGTGGCAAAACTTTGATACGCGGTCTACAAATACGAGTAGATGGGAGCGAAATGGTCCTGTCATTAAAAGTTATGAAATATCAAATCCAGTATTTTCCGCAAAAAAAAGAGCAAACAATATTACAAGTTGGAAATGGCGTAGGGTAGAATACGAGGCGCGACCCGATTAGCAATCACCATGGTAACAAGTACTTGATGCTATCAATTGGAGAGGATGGGAGGTAGGCGGAGAGGATCCGTTATGTCACGAATATGTATCAACGTACACCTACATGCATTTGCATATATATTCATATCTCCAACAAATGCACACACAGCATTCACATATATTCATATATATATATATATATATATATATATATATATATATATATATATACATATATAGCTGTTATATTTAAAGCGGTTGATGGCGATAGTGATGGTCGGCAACGAAGGTAGCGGCTGATAGATTGAGAGAATCGCAGCGAGCGCGGGATGAGGATGGAGAAAGAGAGAGACGGGGAGAGTGGAATCGCGTGAGCTTAGAAAAGAGACGGAAAATACAGAATGCTCGGAACGTGGATGGAGGAAACAGAGAGATAGAGAGACGGCGAAGGTGGCAGGGAGGTGCAGAATCGGGAGAAAGCAGCAGCGGCGGAGCGGTAGCAGTTGCCGCTCTCGGGGCGGCTGGCTGTTATCATGAGAAACAAGCTTCCACTCTGATTTTTTAATCCGATCCGCGCCCCCTGCTACCGGCTGAATTTTAAAATAACTGCAGAACGCCATTTGCTCCTCGCAAACAGACCAGGGGGAGGGGGGGTTAAGCCGTCCCCGCTGCCGCCGACCTTCTCCGGTGCTCTTGGCTCTTTTCTATCTTCTTCCTTCTCACTTTTCCTGTCCCCGCTTTCCATCGATGTCGGTCCATCTCGCGCAACCCTCCCTCCGTTTCCCTTCGCCTCGTTCTGCTCTCATTTGAACCTGTCTTCACCGTCACCGTTTCCTCTCTCTCTCTTTCCCTCTCTCGGTGTCGCGGCGGATAGGACGAGGAAAACGCACAAGAGCAGAGGAGAGATTAGTTTGGAGGACGAAGAGGAGACAAAGAGATGTGTATCAACGTCCGCGCGTAGCGTGGAAGCGCCTGATGCCAAATTGAAATGTTTAGCGCTTCGTTTCAGCTGTTTCAAATCCCGCGTGCGGGGCGTCCGGAATCGGAGCGAGACAAATAGAAGCGGGAAAGGAGACGAAGGAGAGACAGAGAGAGAGAGAGAGAGAGAGAGAGAGAGAGAGAAAGAGAGATAAGAGAATGATAGCAAACGGGGACGGTTGCCAGCGGCAGAGGGTGAGAACGAAGATAGAGGAGCGAGAAATGCCGCGTGTAGGCCTGCCTGGGGGAGAAGGGTAGATAAGTGACAGTTTTATTAATTTCCCATCTCTCCCGCCGCCATACTTCGCCATCCCTGTCTAACCTACCTATCTACCTACCTACCTACCTACCCGACGCCACGCAACACCAGGGACGTCAGTCGCGCGTCCATACACGTCCTTCCCTTCGCCCTCATCCTCCTCGTCGTCGGATACGGGGTGCGAGGGCGAAAATAAAGCTCAATAATGGCAACGCGCCGTGACGGGGCCCAGAAGGCGAAGATGCCGGTTGGAGATTCGAATCAACGATATCTCGTCCTTCGGTGCACACGTCATCTACTATTTTTATAAAGGAAATTTTTCTCATCGAAATTTCTGTGGTGTTTTTACAAGTATTTTGCGCCGTAGATATTTCAAAAGCGATCGATTAATTCATTATCGCTTGCATACATTTTTACATATATTAATATGCTGTAATTATAATTCTTAATGAGAAGCGTTAATATCAATTCTATCGACCTCGTTTACGTTTGCAATAGAATTCAGTGACGTCCGCAATCATGCATCATGTTGATGTTGCATGCCATTAAGAAAACTGTTTCGATTCAATCGACGATTTCGTCGATAAATCTCTCTCTGGATATCCAAGCTGGAAGCTTCGGATCGAGTCGCGACATCTCGCCCGGATTGTACACGCGAAGAGAAGGACCGAGAGACGAATAAAAAAAGAAAACAAAAGTCTACGAAGAGAAGAGGGTCAGGGAGAATGGAAAGAAGAGAAGAGAGGTATCCTAGCCGGTCGCCTCGGTGGTGGAAAATTTAATTTCGATCCCGTCGATTCAGCAGTTATACCAAAGTTTAATCTTTGATAAGGGTTAGTCTTTTAGTAATGGGATCCCAGAGGGTCGGTCGCTCCGGTCCGACGGAGCGAGGCGGAAGGCAAAGAGGAGGCCCGCCTGTCTCCTCTTCTTCTTTCCTTTCTCCTCGTTCCTCGCCTACTCGCCTTCCGCTCCATTCCTCTGGCCAAGAGATGGAAGGAAGGAGCTTAAACCGTTAGATAGAGATCTGCTCTCGGGGTAAAAGTAGTAGCTACCTACCCGTTTATATCGCTCCTCAAACCGAGCAGGACTCGGACTTTTATATTCGACGCTGGGGAAGACATAACGAGCCTCACGATGGGATAAGTTTTCCGACGCGAAGTTCTGCCAGCAACAGCAGCCCTTTTCCCCTCTAGTTTTTTTTGACGATGTCTCGTTTATTTTCGCTCCGATATAAAGTATTCGCGCCTATCTGGGTCACGCGAATCCTTCGATCGACGAAGATGCGTCTTGGGCGTAGAATTTAATTCTCACACGACTAGTCTGTCAGTGGAACACCTTTCCCGATCCTACCAGACCAGTTATAAGATAAATAATGGACGATGTAGCTTGCAGTTTTGCATCTGCTCCGACGACATAAATTATTATTGAGAATAGATAAAAAATTCTTTATTTGCAAATTTTCTATTTTTCTATACTCTTTATTTTTTCACCTTAATATATTTAAAATAATAAACATTTTCGCCTTCTATGCGGGAGAGAGAATATCTTGGTCCTTGTGTGGGGGATTATTTTACATGTAATATTTGTTTACTTGGATTTGTTGTAGTTATGGCATGGATCTGAACGGCGCGAGGCGAAAAAACGCGACACGAGAAACGACGAGTACGTTGAAGGCATGGCTAAACGAACACAAGAAGAATCCGTACCCTACGAAAGGCGAAAAGATCATGTTGGCTATCATTACGAAAATGACACTGACGCAAGTGTCGACGTGGTTTGCGAATGCGCGAAGGCGCTTGAAAAAGGAAAATAAAATGACGTGGGAACCGAGGAATCGTGTCGAGGACGAAGATAACAATAACGAAGACGACGACAGTGGGAGAAAGAGTGTCGACGAGAAAGATCGATTAGGTAAGTTCTGCTTCTCGTTGAATAATCTGCTTCTTTTAAATTACGTTGCCAATCAGTCAGTCATCTTCATTGCGTTAATCGCATCGATAATTGGGGCATTACATTCCCCAATATATCTTTCTCGCTTAAAAATCGTTAGGTAAATTTGGGCAAAATTGTTTAAAAGAGAGCGAAGATTCGGAGAACCGTATATTAACCCGAATCACGAAGCTCGATCATCTTCTTCTCGGTCCAGATTCGAAAGACTCGGGTACAGGTTCCAGCGAGGACGGGGAACGACCGGCGCATCGTATGGATCTTTTGCACGGCGGCAGCGGCGGCTCGGCCGGCGTTCAGGGTAGAGCCGAGAGCGAGTGGAGCGAGTCGCGTGCGGATAGCGGGCCGGACAGTCCGGAGTGCCTGTACGACCAGAGGGAGCCGAGGCATCCGCTGCAGCTGCAACATCCGGCGTATCTCGCGCCGAGCCACGGTCGGCTGTTACGTCATCCATCGCCGGAGAGCACGTCGCCGGGAAGCCAGCACCACCATCTCCCGCCGAGCACCAGCGCGTCATCCACAGCCAGCGCGGTGACGACGAAGCCGCGGATCTGGTCGTTGGCGGACATGGCGAGCAAGGACGGCGATCAGCAAAACTCGAACCCGGTCACGATAACGGGTCTCGCGTCACCTTACGGCGGAACGGGAGGCGGAGGCGGCGGCGGTGGCGGTGGCGCGGGAGGCAAGCTCGTCAGTCCCCTGGCCAGCCGACTACCGCCTCATCATCCCTTACACCCGGCGATACATCCGGGCACGCAGTTCGTAAGACCGCATCCCGACTTCTACAGGAACCTATACAGCGCGTCTCATCTTGGCTCCGGCGACATATCCCTACTGGAGACGTACTCGAGGACTCTGGGTGGACTGGGCGGCGTGATACCGCCACCGTCCACGGCGCCGAGCATACTGACGTCTTCGTCTTCGTCCATCTCCGTTGCCGGGAACGTAAAGCCTTTTTCGATCAACGGGGCCAGCGGCGCGGGGAGCGGCAGCGGTGCCGTTGCCGGTGGATCGGCCGTTTTGCTAACCACCGCGTCCTCCGGACTGTCACCGTCGTCGTCGTCAACGGCGTCGTCGGTCGGATCCGATCAGTCGCCCCATCCGGCGGCCGGCGGTCTTCCCGCGACTCAGGAACTCAAATCTCCCGGACGAGTGTGACTCGAAGATGCGACCGATCGTTGAAGGAAAGACGTTTCGCGCGCGCGCGCGCTGTGCATCGACGGGCGTTTCGTGTGGTGTGGCTGACAATAATCAGAGACTACAATCTTGTAATTAGTGTACAGTAAAACGAGAGATGATGAGATATACTGCCCCTCAACCCGCTTCTCGTTCCTAGTCTTCGTTCTCTTTCTCATTTTCGATATTCGTCGCGATATTTCCTTTTTTATCCCTCCCCTTCCGGATCGTCCAATCTTGAGGTTTATTTTCTATACCTAATTGCTCCGAATAAAGACGGAAACTCGTAGTATATACCGACTTCCCATAGTGGCTCTAACCCGCGGTATAACCACAGCTAACGTCGACTCGACAGTACACTATTATACATATACGAATGCTATAAATATATATAAAGATATAGGATAATAATTTATATTATTATCGTACATCTTTAATAATTAATTAATAATTAATAATTAATATTATTTATGCGTTTGTAAATAGTAGGAAGAGGCCCAGTAGAGAAATCGTCCGGCCAGTGTATGTACTGTATGTAGAGTAGATACAATATTACTAGCATACCTGAGATCATAATTCATATTAATGACGATTATTATGATTATTATGATTATTACGATTATTATTATTGTTATTGCAATGTTTATAATATTATCGATTCACACGTCGACTCAGGTTGTCGAGCATGACGAGGTATGGATCGTTAGTCGCGGCGACAGATTGCGAGGGACGCGCGTAGGTTCTCGAAATACGGTTCTCGAAATACGATTCTCGAATCCTCCCCTCTTGTATAAGTGTATATCCTCCCCTCTCTTATTTATTGCGCTGTAAAAATTATTGGCTCGTGATCATTTTGTCGCAGGTAATCGCGATCGGAACCGACGCGCTTTCGTCGATTCGCTCGCAATCTACTGCGAACGTGTACAATGATTCCGTCGCGTCGTCCCGCCTATCGCCGTTGCGTAATAAAGGGAAACATTCTTCAAGTTGTGTACGAAGGACACCAACGGCTTGCAACATATCATGTCATGTCACGTCGAGAGTGAACGATCGCCATCACCTTTTAGTCATTCGTGTCCAAAATTTCGCGCGAACTCGCTGATGCCGCACGGCACTGTGTCTCCTTTCGCAATAAACGAATCATTACGGAAAGCAAACGAGTTATTATTTCCGCCCCCCCCCCCCTCGTCGATCGCAATTTCAACTTCTTCTTCCTTTTCACGAAGAATCGCTTCTTTCAGGAGACACCACAATCGTGCATCGTGCGCGATTCAGCAGAGACAATACGCGCACGTGGCGCAGCCTCTAATCGACGTAGGGGATCGTCCCTTCAGATCCGGCGAATGAATATGAAACGTTCTCATTCTCGGAACCGGGCCGGGATGTACTTATAAAAATGCAAAGCGACCGACTTCTGGGTGGTTGCTGGACAAGCCTGGTTATTAGTAAACATTTAAATCGACAATCGCTGTAGCTATGCGGACAGCAGGGAGAACGCCGTCTCTCTACCTTTCTTTCTTTCTCCGCTTTTCTCCGACGTTCGCGGTTTGCGGTAGAGGAAACAAGAAATCAACTTGCGGGACCACCCGCTACGGCCTGAGCTTGCGAATCGAGTCGCGGATCCCGAGGAGGTCCACGCCGTCTTCATGAATCAACTCGTTTCTGAATCGGCATAAACCTTCAAAGGGTTACTGAGGGGGGGCGGGCGTTCCCCCTGCTAGGTCCATCAGAGTTATGCGGCCACCGGTATCCCTTCGCATTCTAAGCATCGGCCGGTGATCCGAAAGACACGGTGTCTTTGAAAGATCGCTGGGAAGACTAAGAACGAAGAGAAATTGTTACAAATAATAGGGAAACGCCAGTGACAAGGTGTTTTCGGGAATACGTTTGACGTTAAACTGCGAACGAGAGAAATGAGTTGTTTATTCTGCAACATTTTTCTCAGTTTATATAATATAAAATAAAAAAAAAAAAACAAATCGTAAAACACGTAATTTTTAAAATTTAGCAGACGAGGAATTACAACGGTTGGCTAATAACATGTTATCTCGATAATGAAAAATTTTACGCTTTAGAATCGGTGAGTTGCTCCGCTACGCGTTGCGAATCCTCTGAATAACAATTAAATCGCATGATATAAAATGTTTTTTATGTTACTATAAAGATATCGATGGATAAAAAAAATGTCAGTTCGTAAGAGGCAATGTTATGAAGATAAAACTCTGTAAGTTTCCATTGCAGATAAATCGAACCTATTACCAGCATAGCGGTCCAGTTCTAAAATGATCATGTCGCTAAGGACGACAAGACTATTGTATGATATATTTCGCAGAGACAGAGAAAGAAAAACAATAACCGGCTACTTTATTCCGCAAACGTGCACGAATGTTATACGGTCATTTTCAGTATTATAAGGTTTCCATGGAGTAATAAGAACGAATTGATGACTTTCGTTCTCCCCTTAGTACGAGCTCTTAATGCTCAAGAAACATTGGATTATCGCCCATCACAGACATACGTACTACAGTTACTAGATTTTATTTCGATTTTATCAATTTTTGCGGCAATTTTATCGTTCCTGTGTAAAACAAAGTGGAGAGAGAAAGAGGAAAATGTATCAATATTCAAAAGACCGTAGGTAAAGTGTATAGTTCGCGATCGTGCATAAATCAACGGTTGTACCTCGCCACGAATAATTCGTGCATTCCTTTATGTAGGCGCTCTTTCCCTTCTTTCTCGATTCGCGTATAATTTCACGGGCGAAACTTTACATTTTTTGCGCGCGACTCTTTCAACGTTGTCACGGTTAATAAAAATTAAGTAGTCTTACCGCGAGGGGATGCTGGTACTTGGGCGGTCGCGAGATTTTTCGGATTCTTTTTGCACGAGGATTTTTGAACGGCTCCTGCAGCAGCGAACGTCTTATCCCGGGAAGAAAGACACCGCAAATGGTAGCCCGTCGCGCTTACTCGAAGAGGAGAAATAGACGACGATAAACTCGACTAAACTGCGCTCGGTTGCGCGATGCTTTATTGGCTTTTATCGAGTTTTAACGCGAGCACTGGATTCCTTTATGGAAACGCCGTTAATTTTACGACGCGGGCATATTTAGCCCAGCGGCTTCTCGTAAAATCATACTTCGGTCGCGATAAAGTTGAAACATCGACGGGGGCTGCTAAAGCAAAGTTGGCCCCGTAAATACCTCGCAAAGGAGAGGAAAGAGAAAGAGAACAAGTAATTTCACAATGTAATATGCCCATACAATTTTTAATAAATTTTGATATTTTTTTTTAATCAATTTTAATTAATTATGACAAATAAATTCAACTCCTTGATATGCGATACTATTTTCACGTAGTGTTTCAGAACAATATTATTTATTTGCAGTTTGCAGATAATTCGATTATACGGTTTCGTGAAGATTTTTCTAATAATAATTCTAATAATAATTTTTCTAATAATATTTCTAATAATTAAGAAAAGAGAAAAAGAGAAGGAGATAATAGTGGTATATAAATATTCAGTTTATTTTTTCATAAAATATTTCAAATTCAAACAAACTCAACTTTGTCGAGGAACTTGCAATTTTATTTCGTATTTTAACGCTGAGATAAGAGATTTCATTTCCGTCGCATTTTATAAATTAAATTTCACGCAATAATATGATATAGTTTTAACATCATTATAAATTCTCTTTGTTAGCGAGATTTTTTAATACACAGTCGTATAATGTTTGCAATATTTCGTAAAAACGGCGTTTGTTTGCTGCTAAGAGATAATATATTTTTCGCAATAAAAATATGATTTTTTTTCATCTCGAATAATAAATACGTACCACGCGATAATATGCGAAACGAATTGCACTCATCTAGACAATCTGTAAAACAGATATATGGCAACGTTCTTCTTTTCCTTCTTTTTGACGCATCACCACGCAAGTACGTCTCGCGTTGTCAAAAGGTAGCGTATCGGTGTAGGTGGTGAATAATGAATGGCAACGTCGAGAGACAACTTGCTGGACCAGCGTCGACGATGCTGGATCAGGTCGACCCGTTGTGTGTACGTACGAGAGGGAAGGGGGGAGGGGGAGGAAGGACAGGGAGTAGGAAAGGGGGAGAAGGGGGAGAGGGTTAGGAGACGCAGTTATACAGCACGAGTTCCGGGTGAAACGACATGAAAAATTAACGGGCCCCGCGTTTTGACACTGCGTCAAACTTTCGTTGTACGAGAGTGATAGATTGTTCTACGGCCGCGGTAGATTATATTCCATACGACGCTGCGAGGGAGAGAGAGAGAGAGAGAGAGAGAGAGAAAGAGAAAAAGCGCGCGCGACGGAGCGCGAGCGAAAGATGGTTTTGGATTCCTCCCGGACTAACGACCGACGGACAAATTCGAATTTTACGAGGGACACCTCAACGGTGGTATTGTCAGTTCGAGTCCGCGAACGAGCGAGTCCGTTTCCCAGCCGCGTTGGGTAAGTATTTTTTTTTTTTTTTCACGGAGATTTATCACACCGTGTGTCAGAGTTATACAAAGGTAATTTCGGTCAATGACGCAGATTGAAATGTACGACGATATTTCATCTTCAATATTCGCGGATGCGGTATATATGATAGTTGTAGTAATTCAGTTTCACGGACTAACGAACGTTAACATCGGCGCGCTTGAAATTTCACTTTTTCTGTTATTCCGACGCATCCAAAGTGACGAATAGCAGGATTGATCTTGGAGAAAAAAGATGTAAGTATTTCTCGCAAGAAGAGCCATAATTTTTCGTCCGCGGTAGAATTTACACTCGGCAGTTCGTAATCCTTTCCACTTTAACGTGTATTCGCGCAACGCGTTGCAACGTTGGTGAGAGAAGACAAGGGAACAAAGAGAAAGAGAGAGAGAGAGAGAGAGATGATGCGCATCGCGATATTTCATTCGGCGTACGATCCCGCGAATTCACGTTCTCAAAGACTTCAAAGGGATCTCTGCAAAGTTACCGGATGTCCGGCTGCTCGCGACATCGCACTCGCTTTGTGCACCCCGGCCTATGAGAGGAGGGGACCGGAGGCGCCAGAGGAGAACGAAGATGGAAGAAGAGAAGGAGCCTCTCGACGCGATGCTCGAATTCGTCCGCGGCTTGTCGGCTGGCAAGTACCACGTAACTCACCTACTAAACTCGCGGCTAAGTAACGGGGAGGCGCATAATTCACCGCTGGTTAATTGGCGAGCGTTTTCACGCCAGCCGGCGGTCTGTCAAAGAGAGAGAGCGCGATGACGAGTCTCTGTTTCTCATCCGAAAGCAACGGAGTAGGATCGAGCACGTGCGTATCATCGCCGACAGCGAAGAAACGCGTGCTGCGAAATCCTCCGGCTCTTCTCCTATCTCTCTCTCGGTCGCGACAGTCGTCTCTGCTTATAAATACTGCATCTCGCGCAAAGAAAGAAATAAAAGAACAAACTCGAGGAAATAGAAGAGAATGAGACAGGGAGAGAAAGGACGCGATGTGAAGTGCAGGAGGTAAAAAGAACTGCTTCTGGCAGTCGACAACTGAGAGAGGGTCGACGCCGGGTTCTGGAGGATGCCGCGGCGATATGACTTATTTAATCGCCCGGGCTGAACGTTAATGTCCCTCTATGAGGCGCTCGCGCGAATGTTTCGGGGATTATGTCGCGTCGCCGTCGACGGGGCGTTGGCCGCGCGATTTACGAGAGTCGTAAGTTGAACGCGCGGCGATACGAGGTGACGGAGCGAGGCGCGAAATTGGAGCATAACGCGAAAATGTAGACGTTAGATCGCTACTAAGTGTTCCGTCGTCGCGTTTCTCCGTCAAGAGACACGCATCGAAGCGTGTTCACTTTAATGGCTAATATCGTACTTATTTATTCCCTTTTATTAAGGATCCGTACAATATTCTTTTCATTGTTACATGTCACATTCTGAAATTTTATTTCCACTTCAATTTTATCATGTTTATTCGAATGAATTTCGACAGGTCTGTTTTTGGAAAAGCTGAGTTTTTACTTTAAATAAACAGTAAATGAACAAATTCCTACTTAAAAATTTAAAGAAGGGATAAAACTAGAGATATAAATACATGCAATATAAATTGAGTATTATCAAAAGTGAATAACTTGATTAGATAGGAAATGTTGGATTGAAAATTGAAAT